AGACTGTAAGCAGCCTCTCCTTTGAAATGTCTATTCTAACTCGTTTCAGATATTAGCATGCAGAATAATGTACATTGCTTTTTCACTGGCTCACAATTGCATACATAATGATAAATTTAACAACAGTGACAACTGGTTTGACCCCAACAGTTTCCATTTAGGAACACTGCAACAATTTAGCACTATTTCTCCTAAGATTTCAGTTTGCCACTTATAGATTTAAAAGCAATTAAGTCACTTTGCCTAGCATTTTGTCATCAAGTTCCACGTCTTCCAAAAATGTTATATCGCTGTTGTATTCCCTGTTTAAATATAGACAGCATGCTTATATGAGACTTCAAGAGGCTCCTCTCCCTCTTTTAACAATCCCCTTTCTCCCATACCACAACATGTAAGAAACCAGGATCCTGACAATTGCCCCCCATTCACATGACAACTCTTGTAGACTGTATAACCAACGCTTTGAGGTGCAATTAAGAGAAAGTAGCTGATGATCAATTTCCCTGCATGAACAAGACTTATAAAAATAAAAAATTGAAAAAAAGAGAGATGTCAGGATTTCTTTACATAAGACAATTACAATAGACGGCCATTAACCTGCTTACCTACCCTTGCTTAATTTTTTTAAAATGAGCTCATCTTTCTCCACTTCATCTTTCTCCTCCCCCTTCCATTCTTTTCCCAGACTGCAGCAATAACATGCTTTTATTCTTTCCTTTTGACTGCCAGGGCCTTAAACTAATTATTAACTGAGAATGTATCTAAAGGATCTGAATGAGAAAGTTGGAATTAACCCAATTGCCTCTTTCCCCCTTTTATTTTGCATACTGTAACACTAGATCTACCTGTTAGTACTGCTAAAAACAGAAAAATGTGTTATTTTCCTCTCAAAGGCAAGTTTTCTAGCTGCTTGGGCAAAAATAGGCAACAATGAAAAACAATGTGGAAAAAAGGAAGTACCTGGAAAAGGCCTCAGCTTTGAGTGACAGCCATTACCAACCAAGCTGCCTACAAATAAAATTCTCTCAACAACTTTGCTGTCCTGTAGGAAAATCCTGCAGCAGAGGGCATCCTGCGTTTGAGAAATCAGACAACTGACACTTCATCAAAAGACTTGTCCTTTAAAGAGGCTAGAAAGGCATGACCTTACACTGCCTGCTAGTGCAGAGCTGGCTGGTTGTACAACACCAACTCATCTTGTTTCCAGTTGTTAAATTACATTAAAGGACAGCTAAAAATATATTAAATATTTTCCTATTACTTTTCCATGCAAGCAACTGCTGTAGTTACAAAAGCAATGTCCAGGCAAACGCTTAGTAACGTCGGGGTGAAGGGGGGGGCTGGGGTAGGGGGAAGGTCCAGGAATCCTTCTAACACATTGCAGATCAATAATGTAACATTTGGATTGCAAACACAGAAATTAATTTTTTTTTAATTTGTTGTAAGAATAAGAAGTGATGCATTTCTAATGATCAAAACAGGAAAACATCTACATTTTCCAAAAAAGTCAAACAGACCTGAGCTATAGTTTTAACTTTCTCCCACGCTAAATTTTTGCCCTTTTTTCCTTTCTAAAATACACCGAAACTTAACCAGTCTACCTGTGATATACAATGCATTAAATTCTGACAAATTCACACTGATATGCCTCATCTTCCCTGCTAGAGATTACCCACAACTGAAAAAAATAAAGAAGGAAGACCCATTTGAAAAACCTGATAGTCAACGTTTAAAACACTCTTGTGACAAAAATGAGTCTTAATTGATTAATGATCTCAAGGTCTCTATCGCCATCTAGTGAAAATTCACTACCATTACTACACTAGCCACATAAACTGCACCTCCTTCACTGGAATCGCGCACTGTGATCACAATCTCTGCTGGATCCAGCCTACATACAGCCAGAGTTGTAAGGCTTTGCTACATTTCTGCTGCATGTCTTAAGGTAAACAAAGGTCAAGCACTAGCTCATATCTTGCTAAGGCCGACTGAAAAGAACTAAATTCTTACGGATTACACTCTGTCCTAGTGCTTTATAACAATCTGGCTTTATAAATGGCCTTTCCACATCATATTTAATACCTCTGCCATCAAAATGAACATGTCAAACGCTATCACAGTTATAAACAAGTTTTTAAAATGGCAATGTGTAATTACAAGAATTCTTAGTCACCCTAAGGAACCCCGTGGCAGCTCCACTACTTTCAGTGCATTGGCGTCGCCAAACCACAAAGAGAAGTTACAGTCCAGAGAGGTAGTACACGGCACTGGCATCAGACGCCTGCAGTACTCGCTCTTCCTACAGCTTCAGTGACAGGGTCTCCAGTCACACAGTTAGAAAGCAGCAATTTACGAAAGTCGTCAAAACTCATTCTCTGTCAGCTACATTAAAACTTAATGCTACGATGAGCTTCAAGAACTTCTTCAACTTGAAATATATATTTCAATTATTCTGCTAAGACTTACGACTGAACTGTAATTGTGTTAGTGCAAACATTAAGCTCCCACACAGTATTTTTCCCGCTTAGACATCTACGAGCCTAGTGTTTACTCAGGTCCCCTCCACAACAGTAACCAGCAAGTATCAATTACTGATCATCAGAAAAGGCCATTTCAATTTAGACCAATAACATTTTTCCATAAAAGTTATTTTTAATTAACCTTTTCATATAGAGAACCCAAATCTCCTGATACTTAAGTTCACCTCTTTTATATTAGCATTTAGCGGTTAAGAGGAAACCTATAAACAGAAAGTCTAATACAAAATTTTAAAGTAGCGTTTTTCCAGATTAACTATTTCAATTTTTAAAAAAACCCAAAAACTGAGGTGCCCTCTTGTGTCCTCTTCTATGGCAAAAACAACTACTCAAGAAATAAGGAACTAATGAAGCTGTTTATTGACTACCTACCTAAAAATTCAGCTTTTCAGAACAGAGCATACACAGGGTATTTCATCAGAATCGATCATACCTACACAGAAGCACAAAACTACAGATCATCCCAAAAAATTCTCAAATTTTCAAAAGTTTCTTATGTCCACAGTATCCAGAGTAATGAATACCAATCTACCTCAGAGAATGGGAAAAAAAAGCGTTTCAGCTCTACAGGAGGTGCTGTACAGCACAGAAGAGACCTACCAAGACAGTAATGCCCCACTGAGCTCAGCACTAGTGCTGCTAGATGCAGACTGGCTCCCACGGACTTTCACTGGCAACTCTCTGCTGTGCTCCCAGCAGTCCCATTTCATAGAGGAACTTCTAAACCTGCACTGGGTACAACACACTTTCACGCAACACTGTGCCATAGTACTAAGTTTTTTCCCTGAACTCAGAGCAACTACAAAACTGGAGACTCAAATGTGTGCAAAGGCTTGGCAGAAGCACTCCCAGGTCCAGCACCACCAGAATTTAAGAGGCAAGAAATCTCTTCCAACCAAAAATCAACGACATAAGAGAAAGCATCTCAAAGCGCTCCCTAGCACATCCTGTACCACCTAATTAGGGTTATCCCCACCATCACTTTGGAACACAATGCAGGAACATCAAAATTTCATGCACCATTATCTCACAACTGATAAGTCACAGACAACTGAGAAAAACCGTATGTGCAAACAAAAGGATTTCCCCTCCTTAACAGGGGCCAAAAGCTCAAGTATCCATACAATACCCAGTTTGTGACAGATGCTCCGTATGACTAATGGAGATCATAAAAAAACCAAAGTCAAATTCATGATTTGTAAAATACTGCTAGAAAATACAAAGCTATGATACGCAAATGTTTTTCATGCCAGTCTTGTACATAAATACATCAGAATCTTACAACAACAAAGATACCGCTTCCTTAAAGGAAACACCGACTTGTGAATTCACATGGATGTGTAGCACATTCACAGTTACCAAACCCAGAAATTTTTTTCCTAGTTAAACACGTGCGTAAGGTTAAACACACTGGTTACATCAGTTGGGAGGACAGCAAATGTGAGGTTATCTCTAGAGAACTGTTTAGATGTGAAGACTTCTAAACCCAAAGACATGTTACCAGAAACAAAATGCTCCTATACACACAAGTTGGGGGTTGTAAATAGACCTTCCGTGCATTGGGTAGTCCACAGCAAGGAGAGCTGTGCCCTCACATCACAGGGAGTATGTGCCTCTGAACACAGATGTGAACTCAACCCTCTCCCTACTCAACTAAAAGGTTGACCAGACATCCTGTCACATCTGTTCCTGGCACTTTTGCAGATTCCTGCTTGGTATTGTCTTCTATAAAGAGCTAATATGAAGCATCATGAAAAAATGTGGTTTAAGACACTGTATAGCAAGTGGTATGTTTTGGATCTTTAATGATTATTTTTCCCACTGGGACCAAATGGATGTGGTTTGCATTCAGCTGCCACCCTAATCAACAGCAAGAGTAGTTTTGCCTGTAAGTTAAGAGCAACTCTTCAAATAAAATCTGGCCCTCTTGAGGCTAAAGCAAAGCTTCATTTTAAGGAACAAACAGTTTCTGAAAATAAGGCCCTGATACTAATCCATTGTCACTGTGTGATTAATTAGCCTTGTCACAAATTTCAGGGTTTCAGGAACTCAACATACCAGGGCACAGGACAGACTGGCCAAAGACAAGCTCATCCAAACCTGAAGCATACCATGGAATCAAAGACTAACCCACCAAGCAGAACTGCAAAATCATGGAAAATGTGAAAGCAGCCTTGATTTTTTTGTCACCATCATCTGGTCCATTGAAACTAAGCAGTTCAATTCAAACTAAGGCTTTAGCTAGAGCTTCAACTTGTCACACTTTTTTGAGACGTTTATCTGATTATTTTCTACCTAGTAGTTTCCTTTTTTTCTTAACTTCTGCAGTACAAGAAAGATAAAAACTACAGTTCCGAAACCAAAAGCAGGTTTGAAAACAAGACCATTCTCCCACTCAACAAAAAAGTAGGTGGCTTAAATTCACCCTTTTTATATATGTGTATAACCTGTTTGATGACTTACCTCTCTCCCTTTGTGCGTCACCAAAGCAGCCAAAGGCTTAGCATAGAATCTGCTGTAGGAGAATCCCAGACAGCCATACATACTGTTAGCAGTGAGTTTCAAAGCTTTCTGTCTGATATCATACTGAAAAGAAACATAACCAGCAAAAATGATACAACCATAGCCAACAGAGAACAGAACTTAATGTTCACAATTACATTCACAGCTTTTTATATACTCTGCAGCAATGATGGGCTAAAAGTAAAGCACATTACAATCACTGCTCACTACTAATCATCCCTATTCTGCAAGGCTGATCAGGGCACTTGAGGGGAATGGGTGGAAAAATCAAAGGAGTTCTATAAAACACACCTGTAAATAAAGGTCAGGATTTAAATCTGGCTGTTTCATTAACTGCTTAACTTGGCGCCTTCTCTCCACCAGTTTCCTGATTTCTTTAGGCAAAACTCCCATTTCCAGAGATGGGTCCGGAAGCTCTGGAATTTCTTCCTCTTCTTCGACCTGTCAAATGATCACCACTGCTTACCATTTTTTTGAACATTAGATTTTAATGTCTTAAGTGAAAAGCTTGGGGAAAAATCCCCACACAGCTTGCATCTACTCCTGCAAAGCACCCAAAGCACAGTTTAGAACAAGCAGCACAAGAGGCTTTTTTGTGGTATTTAATACTAAGTCACTGCTGGGGGACAGGGACTAAGCCTGTCTCTGCCTGGGAGAAACCCAAGAGACATGGACTTGGAGCAGTAAGACTTCTTTTTAATATATGTGTGTGTATTGTACATATATTTTTATATATATATAAAATGTAGTATTTTTGTAGTATTTTTATATGTTAATTTTATATACATATAAAAATATATGTGTGTATATATATAAATCCAGATAAATTAAACACACCTTCACTCTTAGTATACATAGGTGGATATAAAAATACAAAGAAAAGCAGACACATACACGCACACCCTTTTTTTATTATCGCGTAAGTATTTTTGGTGTTCAGAACTATAAAACGGAGCACGTGCGCTGTCGAACTGATACTTTGAGTAAGATAACTGACAAAAGAGAAATTGACAGCAACAACAGAATGAAAACTCCTCCCCAAGCAACTCTTGATCATAGCAAAACAACTACCTAACAGAAAGCGCACTTTCTTCTTGGTAGCAAAACCTAAGAAATGGTTGCTCAGCAAAAATGGAAATTTCAAGCACAATCAAAGAGACAGAAATACACAAACAGAGGGCAACAGAGACACTACGAGGTTGGCAAGTTTAGTAAAGCAGTCTGGAAAGAACCATAACAAGAAATGACACCGAAACCTGATTAAGTATCATACCATGATAGAAATCAAAATGAGCTGTTGCAGTTTGTAGCACGCTTAAGAAAGCAAGGTAAATCCACAGAGAGTTTGGAGGAACTTACTGATAGAGTTACACATACTTTTTTCCTTGTTTCTGCTATGGTACTAGTATTTTAGTTGTTACGGGACTATATCCCATAACTACTTAGGCACAACACACTAATTCCAACCTGTGAGCTGATACCAGTTAAAAATAAAAGCCCCAGGTTTAACCTTTAGACCTGACCAGCTCATTGCTGCAGTTTACAGCACAGCTCCAACAACAACTGTGCCAGCACAGCTGAGGAAAGAAGAATAAGCAGCCACAGATAAGCCATAGCCCACATAGCTGCTGAGGAAACATTACATGGAACTAACTACCCCTTCAGCAGGTTTTTCACCAGTTTAATACTGTATAAATTTCCGTGAAGCTGGTCCCACAGCTGAGACAGTCACAGTATCACTCCCTGACACAACCGCCCAAGGCACACACACAGTTTTCCTGATGTCTAATAAGGGTTCAGCTCATATTGCATTCTTTCCCCCAAGCAGAAGCATGAGACTTGTGCCTCCCTCAATCAGGTATGTTTGCATGAATTCTGTGGCAACTTCATTTTAGGAAGCCTCTACCAAGTTAGGATCAACGGGCTCAGAAATTACTAGAAGGACCTGGGGCTGAAAAGGGCCAACAGAGCTTCACTAGAAATCTTGCTCCATGAGCATACCAAGATTTTATTTAGATGGGAGAGAACTTACCAAGATTCTGTAAGAGTATTACTGAAAGAAAGATGACAGACATACAATATTCAAAAAGTCCCAAACCAAAACTTACAATGATGCATCTTTAAACAAGAATCACTTTTTCTAAGTCTGGGAAGGGAAAAAAAGCCAACAACCACAAAACGTTAAACAGTGAAGAAGAACAGTTTCTTAAAAAGCTGATTCACAGTTAAGACAGTGTAACTTAAGTCACTATTCAAAGCACACAAACCTCTGCCCTTTTTTGTGCTTCTGACGACAGTCGCTGCACAGTGGTAAAGCAGATGTTAAACTCCTGGATAATTGATGGGTACAAGCTGTTGAAGTCGAGAAGCAAAATAAACTTGTCATAAAAACCTAAAACAGAGTTTAAAACAAAAGTCATAATTACTCAGTCTCCCTAAGGACTTAATCCAACTCCACAATTAATATTTACATGACAGTAACACATTGTGCCACACTTCCCTTAAAGTAGCTGTTGAAATGCACCACTATCCGTTAGAGAAAGCTGTCAGAAGTGGAACGATCCAACCCCATTAACTCACCAGAGTTGAACAGATAGCTTCTGTGTTACTATAGGACACTCGTACAGTTTTCCCCACATAGAGGAGAAACTGAAAGAAAACTTACGTGTCCATTAGAAAATTATACACAGATACAAAGTCTTAATTCCTCACAAGACCATAATCTTCTCATAAAAAGCTAAGGAAAAAAGGTCCCAATAATAAGTAATTCCACAAACATCGTTGGGACTTTTCTTGTATGCAATGACTCCCCCACCCCCGCCAAACCACCAAACTGAACTCCCACAAGATACATCAACGGCACTCATGGCAATCTATCTGCATTAATGTAACCTACCTGTCTCTTAACTTCATAGAAGAAAGGAAATTACCACGTCTTACCGACTTTGGGATCCAAGACTAAGCCCCCAGCATATGCTGCTTTCTTTTTCCCTATCTTTGATTTATTCTGATCTTCAAAATCTTCATCTTCATCCACCTACATTTGGCATTTAAAGAAGTCATTATCTAGTCTCCAAGATTTCTATACTGTTGGAGGAGTTATTTTTGGCAAATCAAGTATGAAATTGGGAGCCAGTGCACAGAGTTCCTTTTAAAACACATGCAAAACACAGTGTTTTCATCACGATCCTTATTAAAGCTCTCCACATGTCAAAACAGCATTCAAAACAACTCCTATAGGAACAAACTGCTAACGAGAGATTACAAAGATCTTAAGGAATTGTCATCATTCAACATAGCACTAGTACGCATTTTCTGAATGGCTGTAAAAGTCAACACTAGCTAAAGTCAACTCATGACCCAGAAGTATTACTGCCCAATTAAAACATAGGTTTTGGAAATACAATGGATGGGCTTTAACAAAACAAATAAATACACTGTTACTGATATAAATTACACTTGAAGCACTGTCATCAGCAAAATAACTGTACAGCAAATGTGCATCTATTAAGAAACACAGACTATTTTCTTCTTTACTTTTTTTACATAGCCAAGTACTTCACTTATTTCAATTTTAAACTAAAAGAGCAATGGAGTTTCCACAGATCTGTGATACAGTGGAAAAGGTGTTACACCGTCCCTTTAAGCCATACACTTCTCCATTATCAACTAAACAAAAAAGAATTTTAAATGAAGCATAAGCTGTAACATTAAGTTATAACTAAAATTGGCTATGTTTGGGTTTTCTGTGCTTTCACAGAACAGTAATACGCAAAAGATAAAAGAATTTTTTTTCTTTTTAATAAAGGATTCTTGGAAATAGAAAAAGTGAACCCACCAGCTTCTGCGGAGGCTTTTTAAAAACTTGTTTGTCTGGCACGATGTAGTCTTTTTCATGAAATGCATGAAGGAGCAAGAACTCATTACGTTCAGATCGTCCACCCATCATTGTCCTTGACTATAGAGAGAGGCAAAAAAAAAGAATTCAAAGCAGAGCACAGAAAACAGTGACATACAAAGAGGGACATCCAGAGGGACCTTGACAGGCTGGAGATTTGGGCCCACGTAAAATTCATAAAGTTCAACAAGGCCAAGCGCAAGGTCGTGCACCTGGGCTGGGGCATTCCCAAGCACAGATACGGGCTGGGAGATGAGCGGATGGAGAGCAGTCCTGCGGAGAAGGACTTGGGGTGCTGGTGGATGAAAAACTGAGTATGAGCCAGCAATGTGTGCTCGCAGCCCAGAATCACATCCTGGGCTAAATCAAAAGGAGCATGGCCAGCAGGTTGAGGGAGGTGATTCTGCCCCTCTGGTCCACTCTGGTGAGACCCCACCTGGAGTGCTGCATCCAGCACAAAAGAGACGTGGACCTGCTCAGGTGGGTCCAGAGGAGGGCCACGAAGATGACCAGGGGGCTGGAGCACCCTCCCCTGTGAGGACAGGCTGAGGGTTGGGGTTGTTCAGCCTGGAGAAGAGAAGGCTCCGGGGAGACCTTAAAGCCCTTACAGCGGCCTTCCAGTGCTTAAAGGGGGCCTGCAGGGGAGGTGGGGAGGGACTCTTGATCAGGGGGTGTGGTGATAGGACGAGGGGTGATAGTTTCAAACTGAAAGAGGGAAGACTTAGATTAGATATTAGGAAGAAATTCTTCACCGTGAGGGTGGTGAGGCACTGGCACAGGCTGCCCCGAGAAGCTGGGGCTGCCCCTGGCAGTGTTCAAGGCCAGGCTGGATGGGGCTTTGAGCAACCTGGTCTGGTGGAAGGTGTCCCTGCCCATGCGGGGGGGCTGGAACTAGATGGTCTTTAACGTCCCTTCCAACCCAAACCATTCTATGATTCGTGATTCTAAAAATAGACTAAGCAACGTCCTTCAGCTATTTATAAGCTCACCTAGCATTACTATTATTTTGTATTATCATCATGCACAAAACTCAAATGTGATCTTTCTATGGAAGTTTTACATTATTACTTGACTAGATCGTCAAACTCTCACACTCATCACAGCAAATAATTTACAGCATCTTATATTCTCCATTAGTGTTTACAAATTAAAACTAGCAGATCAAACACAGAAAACATGGAACTATTTTTGTGGGACAAGGTGGGGCTGTGAGGAAGTAAGAAAAGATGTACCATGACATTCCCAGAGATGTTTGTTATTTGAAGCGCCAGTGGCAGAACATTCAGCTCACACATGATCTGGAGAATGAACTTGGCATCTGTCCAGGTGTTTTCGAGCATGAACATTAAGCGAGGAGAATCACTGAGAAAAGAAGGGGGATGGCCTAGTAAAGTAAAATCAGCCTCCTCTGTACTCTGTAGTAGTTTAGACCTATATGCCATATGGAACACACAGTATCTGTAGCACACCAGTGTTGAATTATATAGTAAGCTCTTTTAATTGAAATAAAACCCCGAAACTCAAGCTTGCATATCCTTTTAGTATATCTAAACCAATACTCTCACAAATCAATTTGCTTTGCACATAATAAGCCATGACTCACGAGTAGCTTGCAACATTATAAAATACCGTGAATATTTTACTTTTCAAATACCAATATGCTAAGTCAGCACCTCCATGACAAATCGAATAAGCAAGCAAGAAGCTGTATAGCAGGAAAGTAGCTCCTCTACTTTCCAGTGAAGGATTAAAACATGAATCAGCAACATACCTGTACATATTTTGAATTTCCTCGGGCAGAATTGTTATCCTCTCTGTTTTCAAAATCTGATGGACCAGTTCAGTCAAATGGTAACTTTTGCAACGAATTAATTCTTTTGCAGAAATTTCTACATCACAGATCATTCGACCACAGGCAGCATTCCTTTCAGCAAACCCTCCTCGACCCTTAACCATATCACACAAGGAAAGAAAAAAACAAACGAAATTAAACACGTAAACAAAGAATATCTACCCAAAGTATATGCTTATATGACTCAGTCAAGTCAGCTGATCACTAAATACTCTAAATACTCTACTAAATACCGCTAATACTCAAGCTTTATAATTATGCCCTAAAGGAATCTACAGTATCTTTCAGTATGCGTAGATATTAAGAAGCAGATACTTAACTCTCATTACTAGTTAGATCTTAACTCCTAAAGTGTTATGCACTTTTTTTTTTCCTTTAATAATTAGAATAGTCCAAACAAGAACATGGGTGTGGATTTTGTTTTTCCTCTGAGGATATTTTTTGTACTAACAGCATGACAAAAAAGTCACAGAACAAACCACACACAAATACTCATCTTGGTCTCTAGGAAGGACGGGAAGAGGCAAGAACACGGCCACGTTCAGCACTTCAATACTCCAAGCCTCACACATTGTCCTCTGAACAAATATGTATAAAGAACTACAGAATTATTAACTCAGCAGCTCTCTATGGGATGATTCACCAATCAATCCAAATTACATTTTCTCATTTTGCAGTTATAGCAGACAAAGACTGTTACAGTAAAGACTATTGCAATTAATGTCATTACCATCATCTAGTTGAGATATGTAAACTAAATTAGCCTAACTCGAAAATTAGTTCAGCTTATTACTGTAATAAAAGTCATACAAACACTCATCATTTCTGATCTGGGACACACGAAATTCAGCATGACCAACAGTCAAAATACATCAGTGTCACATTTACAATTCCTCAGCAAAATTAATTCATTTTTAATCACATGCGACATAAAGGGGCTTAAAAGACTTGAGCAATCTTATTACCCCAAGCTTTGGCATATTGGACCTCCTCAGTCGACCTATCTTGGACCAGTGAGGGACTTTGCACACATTAATTCTTTGAAGCAGCACTTCCAGATCAAATCCATAAATATTGTGACCCTTGAAGCAGAAAAAACAACAAAAAAAGGTTACAACAAATGCAAATGGAAAGACTTACTTTCACACACTCAGTATTCCTTTGCCCTTTGTGGTTTTTTCCAACTAATTGATGGCATTATCTCTCTCATAGAAAGCACTTTCTAAGGGAACGTTCATCAACAGTACTCATTAGACTTAACACTAACAATGCTGTTCAGCAGAATACCAAAATCAGCTCTATAACTGGCTCATAGCACACACAATTCAGCTTTATGCTTTGATAACAGAGATTAGGATTTAAAGCTTTCTAGAAAAAAAAAAGCAACATTCTTTATACAGCATATAAACTTAGCTATGAGTAATTCCTTTTCTCACCATCCATGAAAGTCTCAATATTGTGTCATTTTTTTCCTTTGATACTACAACAAGTATAGATGTTAAACCTGGAGGAAGACATTGCAACCAATACTTACATATCAAAGTACTCCAGTAATTCCTGCAAAGTTTAAACAATGCTAAGGATATTGACAACACTGGTCTGTAACCTCAGCTGAAAGCAAAATGCTACCCTGAGGAACATGAGCCTACGTGGACCAGTCAGTCACCAGGAACTGCAGGTTCACCACACCAGGCACATCTATGTAGTGCAATACTGTGCTATAGAAGAAGCTCCTTAAAATCAGCAGCAGCATTACAGTCATAGTAGAGGGGTCCTACCTATATTGATATAGCGCTGATTAAACCAAGTGCAAATTAAACTGCACTACCATGGCTCAATTGGTTTTAGGATCAGAGCTGCCACACTGGAATCTTCAATTTAAAACCATTGGCTGCAGTGTTTCCCCTGATTCCTTCCCATAACCACCAGGAAGCCCAGCTCACAGGGCAAATACTGGATACCAGCCACAGTAAGCTGAAAACACCAGGAATCCAATTGCTCATTTCATCCTATTCCCGCCACTTAATTATTTATATTTACCTACAGAAGAAGAGTAAGTCGTATATAACCAACCTCAGATTTATAAACAACTTCAAAATTTCAAATTTCATTAAATGAAAGTCAGGACTGTATATTAACTAAACATAACAAAAAAAGAAAATGAGTAATTATAATAAATCCTCAGCTGCCAGTATAGTAGAAAATGTAAGAACGCTTATTACAAAACCTTGCTCAGATCCCATGGATTTGTATAGGTTATCATTTTGATTCACAGCATAAACACAATCTAAATGGTGACACAAATTATATGAGCATCTGAACTGAAACAGACTCTTAAGTTTACCAAGAGTTCCCGTTTTTCTAGAAATCCCAAGGGTTTCTTTGTTGTGTTTTGTGTTTCTGAGTAAAGAAAAAAAAAAACCCAACTTGTTTCAGGTACTACAGAAATACTGCCTATTTCAGATACTACGGAGAATAATAGGATGTATAAAATGCTGTCAGGGAAAATTCTGTATTGTCTTTGTATCAAAGTGTGCCTGCTGTCTTATAAGCAAATTCAATTCATAAGGCAGTCTAAGATAAACATTAAAAAAACCTATAAGGAGACAAAAGAAAAAGAACAAAGCTGACCAACTGACAGTATGCTTCAATTTAACTCTCAAAGTCTCAGAACTACTCACCACAACAACATCTGGGTCAATTTTGTGAATCTTCGCAAGGAAGAATGCCAGCAGTGTTCTCTCTGTTGCAGCAATTTCTATTTTAGCATTCTAAAGGGAGCAAGAGAGCACCTGATTTCAACGACTCAGTAAGTTTAAAATGGAAACATCTTCTCTCCCCTACTAGTTACAAGACAATAATAAAGCACCACAGAGTTCTCCCTTTCCTTCTGTAATTCAAGGCTTTTTGTTCTCACTCCCATAGACATAGAAAGCTTTTCTCCGAGGCTTTTTTCCATTTTGCTTTTGTATGCAGGTGTCTAGTGATATTTTAAGAGCCTCCTAAGAATCAAGCACACCAGGAAAATGCTCCATGTGCATCCTTCACTCACAGGCTTAAGATCACACAGAAACAGAGGAAAAACAAAAATAGGTTACTTTATTATTCTGTCAGCTCTCCCAGTGCCCTTTAGAAAGGATGTCCTCTAAATTTTGACAGACTTTGCTCTCCAAGGAAAGAAGAAACAAATTCTCCCAGTTTACTAGGAGTACAAAGCCAGGTATAATGAAAACGAATCGCAATTTTAGCCTCTTTGCAAAACCTTTCCAATGCTCTTGTCTAACACTCCGTCTGTGAGCACAACTAGCAGCAGTACTGAATCACACACACCACACGCCTCTGTTTTCACAAGCAACACACAATAAATACCTGGATTTAGGTTTGCAGAGTGGAAAACTAATGAAATAATCATGCTATTCCTTTTAATATTTCTTTTACACAACTTACCCAAAGCAACACGAGGTTCATATTTTAAAAGGTACTGCAATCAGAAGGGCAACAAAATGAAATTACCTTCTTTTTAACAGCTTCTTTGAAGTCATAAGGAAAAATGCAATCATTCGGTTTGGAAACAACTGCAAAAGAAATTTTGTTTGTTCTTACATACAAGTTCTCAACTGTACTTTCCCCGTAAGCATCCATCCACAACAAAGAGAGTTAAGGAAAACTCTAATTCTAAAAAGCTAACCTTATGTGAATACTTGCCTTTAAGATAACCAAGTAATTAGTGAAGTATTGAACAATTTTAATCAGTCAGATTTCAGATTATCACTGGAGCTTAAAACTATGGTCCACAGCTTCCAAAGAACTCCCTCTCATAAGCATTCAACACTCTTCTTATCCGACTGGAGTCTGAACCTCAAGGTTTAGCTGATCATACTACAATGACACTGCTGCAAGAGATTTTTTTTCCCTAGGAAAACTTGCATGTAAATACATGTGGTGTTTATTTTTTGAATTCTGTTCAGAAGAAGTGAAAAATAACTACATGACAGTAAATAAATGGTCTAAATTAATGGGTGAAGAAAGTAATCAAAGAGAACACATGATGAAGTAAAACTAATAAAAATTATAGGAAACTGGATAGAGCAGGGTTACTTTGCATCATCTGAAACTAAGATTTTTTCAATCAAGTCTTCAATAAAAAAAGTCAGTAACCAGTGAAGTTAAAAATAGGGAGAAAAGTCTGCCTGGGAGTTGAAACTTTGTCACTTACCTGTTCTAAGCCATCATTGCTGGAGTGACAGAACAAAGTAAAACAAAACAAAAACCATAAAACACAACAACAAAAGAAAAACTCCAAAGGAATTATTTTTCTACTCATAAACTATTCAAAAGTACATACCACAGAAGTGTGTCTGAAAAGGAGGCTGAGGTGGAGCCTTATCCAAAGGAAATTTCTGATGAATCAGAGCTGCAACAGCCACAACCTATACCAAGAAGATAAAGAACAACTTCACAAACATGACTACTATCAATACCCATTTCTTCCCTCCTTTTATCATTTTTTTAAGTTTCCTCATCTCTTTTTCTCTTGTTTCATGTCATTTTGAAAATTAATTCTAACTATAAACAGTTAAAAAGAAGAAAAGTTATCAATTGATCTCAAGTAAAACAAAGTAGAACTTACTCCTAAATGATTATCTTAGAAATTTGAGAGGAACAAAATTCATTTTGGAAAACTTTGCTTTTAACAAATTCTGTTCTGAATCTGAAGACCTCACAATTTAAAGGATTCACTATGAACTGCAGGGGAGAAGTGAGCACAGCAGGACACGTAGAGAAGCCCTGCCTCTGAAAGGGCTGCCCCTGAGCAAGCAGTCAAGACTGCCGAGAAGCTAAGAGGTTTTAGAGTTTAGAACCTATTAGTTTTACTGATGCTTCTGCTTGCTTTGCTGGCAGGATGTCCTGGCTCCCCAGACACCAGTCACGAAAACCCAACAGAAGACAAAGCAAGGCTTTAGGAACGCCTTGGCAAGCAGAGTCCTGTTGGTACCTTGCATATGTCTTATTACATTGGCTAGAAACCAGGAATTTTCCATACTCCTCCCCAAAAAATTTCACTTCACCAACAGCACTAATTCTGCTTGAAAAATTCACCAGCCTAATTTTTCTTCAATTCAATTAGCCAGAAACAACTATTCTATCCTATTAGTGAATATTAAATATCTTCCTAAGCTGGGGAGACTTACATTAAAAAAAACACAGATAAACGTGCCTAACTACACATTCAGGTCTGCAGTCCACAACTGAGAGCGGCCACCTATGTCTCTCCTCCTTCCTGAGAAAAGGAAAGTTCTCACAGCAGAATAGTAGGTGCTATAAGATTTAGACCAAATTCTCATTCTATTTCAAAATGTGTTTTATCTGCAGAAAAACTCGGTCATGTTACCTAGAACCTATGACTAGCTCTACCAAAAAAAAAAAAAAAAAAAAAAAAAATCCATTCACAGCTGTTTCGGGACAGTGTCTTTCATAACTATTATGCACAAAAGACAAACCAGAAAGCTTGAAAAAATACATAGGATCCACTGTCACAGCAAATATTCTCACCGAACAGCCCCCCTGAACCCACAGTTCTCACGCTGGTGAGACCCCAGTAAAAATTTATTTGAAAAGCCTGCAGCACAGAAAGTTTATTCAACGGTAAATCCATTTAGACACGTTTTATCAGATGAAATCCTTCCATCCCTCAGAAAATTTTTAGTATATGCCAAAGAACGAAACCAAACCAAAATGACAGCAGATTACTTACCTCATTCTGGTGAGTCTTTGGGTTCTGAGTGGTCTTCATACTGAGGGACATGATCACGAGAGGAGGAGGAGGAGGAGAAAGATCTTTAACCACATTCACCAAGCCAGGCTTCATGGCCACAGCCTCCACCTTACACCAGCTGACCGATTGATTTGAAGGCTCTGAGGAAACAAGATGAACCACCTTCGCCATTCTGGGAGCCACAGGTAAGGCTTCTCTAATGGCACAGTTGCACAGAGCACATCCTTTTAATGTTTTGCCCTTGTGGGATAGTCCAAGATCCAGACTAATCCTGCCCAATTTTTGGTAACTCCCTGGGCCCCGACTCCCTGGTCAGAAGCCTGGTAACACCAGGGGCTCTTTAACACCAAAGAGGAGAGGTAAGATCTGTATCAAGTCCAGGAAAATGTGTAATGCAAAAAAAGAAAACTACTTTGGGCAGCTTTATACAGAGTCATATCAGAGAAAGGTATAAGCTAAATAAGCAAAACTCCACCTAAATTAATATACCACCTCTTAGCATCTAATCTTGTAGTCAGTCCAAAGGGAGAAGGCTTCATAAAAATTGATACAACTGAAACGAAAGAAATTTCTCAAATGCTACAGAAAAGGCAGCCAGAGTGCTAATCAAAAGAATTTTGATTGAATGAGAACAAGAACATATGACTGACTGAAATGCACCAGATAATAAATTCATTTAGATATAGTTCTTCAGAAACATGACTATGGAAATAAGGAGATGGGGGATGCCATAAGAGAGTTCATCCTACTCTAGTAGTATACACTATCCTAAAATGTAAGAGGCACCACAGAAAGCTGTTTAAACATCAAGTGTTCAAGAGCTAAAAAATTGTATAGGTGGAGGGGAAAAAAAAAAAAAAAGTCACGTTCACCACCCATTATAATTTGAGGATTTTTTGGTCTGTAATTCTTCACTCGCTTTAAAAAAAAGTGATCGTTCACAAGACACTGATGAGTTAACTCACTACACATCATAAGAACCAGGGGTTACATTTCTGATGGAGTGACCTTTTGAAGACAGCTGTTGGTAGACCTATTTATCTTACTCCCTGCAAAATTATTTGGCCTCTCTCTGGAAACCCACATAGTTTACCTTCTCTTATTAGCCTTGCTCTAAACGCAAACAGGTAAATGATTAAAATATCTTCATTTATAAACACTGATGATCTCTCCAAAGGAAAATGGGCAATCAATTGCTTAATAACTTTTTTCTTTGATCTCAAATATCTTAACACCCAGAGCTTCAATTAGCACTCTATAGAGCAGTGGTCTCCAAAGTGGGGTGCGTGCACCTCAGGGGGTGCATAAGACAATCCACTGGGGTGTGGGAAGAAAATATTTTTTGTACCATTAATAGATAAGCACTTTAAAAAGTGTCTATTTCACATACTTCATCCTTTTCTAATTTCTATTTTTGTGTTTATTTTATAATGTACCCAATATATTAGTACAGTAGTACATGTATATAATTTATAAATAAATATCTATATATTTGAGTTCCATGCTCAATTTTTTGCTGACAGCAGTGTGCAACCCAACAAATTTGGAGACTGCTGCTATGACAGTTTTTGAAGAAGTTGTAGAATTCTGAGGAAATGGTTTGAGACTTGCTTATTCTATATCTTCCAGGTATACTTCTTATCTCTAAGATCCTCTATTGGAAGTGAGGAAGGGAAGCTACATTAGAAAGCAAGAACCTTCTGACACACACTAGACACATGCACCCTAAAAAAACCAAAACAACCCAAACCCCAAACACACAAAAAAACCCAAGACCAAAACCCCCCCGACACACACAACCACCCTGCTTTGGAGCACAAAATCCACTGCAATGACTATAGAAAATTGCATAAATATAACTAGTCAGCTTAACAGACAGTTTTCAACAGAGTGGGCATGCCAGAGTTTTGAAATGAGCAATTCTAATATCAACATACAGACTCTCGCTGGAACCTGAAGGCTGTCACAGAGATGTGGGAGTGGGAAAAAAAGAGCTGCCTTAGATTACCATTGAAGTCTGGCGTGGAATCAGTATCTGAGCTCAGGCAAGATACTTCTAGGTGGAGATAACGCACATCAGCATTAAGTAAAATGGAATACTGCCTGAATGGTTGGTTATCATTGCCATAACATTTGTCACACTGGACATGAGGAACAAAACAGCTCTAGTCTCTTTCTTGACGAAAGAAAACACCAAAGAAATACAAGGTCAATTCTTGGGCCAAGAGTGCAGATGAAAAACCACTCTTAGGCCTTTAAAATCAGTGCCAGAAAGTACACTGACGCTTGCCAATGTCTGGTGGAAAACCGATCACAGCTAATCTGTCTTTTGGCAGTCAGGGATTTCTCTTGTCTATTCCAGCTCAAAATCCTTACTGGTATCAGCTTTGCAAGTGACTGAGAGAGGTGCTGAAGAAGAGAATCCTCCTGGTGTCAGCGTTCATACTGCCAATTCTACATTCGAAGCGCCCCAAGGAGATTGCACTAGTAGATTTTGCTTTTGTCCAGTATGATCAACTTTCCTACGTTCTTGGGAATATGCAGCACATGTGGAACAAAGGGCTCTAACCAAGCCAAAATAAGGCAGCATCACCACCTGTAAGTCATGCATGCCACTCATGAGGTAGAAAGAATTTCAAACTAAAAAAGCTCTGCACAACAAAGTTGTCTAAGTGCCAGAAAAAAACCTAACAGAAACAAAAAAAAGCCATCTAGCAGCAGTTTGTTCAAAAAAAAAAAAAAACAAAAAACATACATTTGCAGAAAACCCACAAATCTTAAGTTATCAAGAGCAGAAAGAGGAATAAATTTCCAAGAAACTAAATTCAGCTCAGTAGAGGTGGCTTTAGGGTATGCACCAAAGAGTAGCTGCTAGGCACTGCATAGTTCCCTTTCACTGCCATTCAAAGTTATAATCTCATCTGTAGAGCGTACAACTTTAGATAGAGCTTTCACTCAAAAAAGGAAGAATAAGTTATAATTTGTACTAGATAACGAAAATTACACAGATAAATTGCAAGGTTAATTTACAAAATGATAATTTATCAGTGCAATTTAAATTCCCTCTCCTCCCCCCAATATATAATTATGTGTATTTTTCCAGCAACCAAGTTATTTCACATGCAAACCAACATACGTGGATTTTTTATTTCCAGCCAGCATGGTCCTTTGATCTTCCTACTTATCAAGAGAAGTTCCAGGCTAGAGGTGTTAGTTCCAAATACATGTGAAAACGTTTGTCCTTTCAGATCCTGGGGAAGACGAGGGCATTCAGCCTAACAATTAACAGAAAGCAGTGAGTCATTTCACCCTACAGAAGTCTTCAAGGTCAACACTCTATATTCAGACAGCACCTTAACAAAACCACACTGTAACTTCCCACAAGCAAAGCCTTAACCCATAATACCTTAAAGTAACAAAGAAATTACACTATTGACTGGACTTGAATAGGTGCCTAACAAAATCAGGACAGTAATGTAAAACGCACTGAAGCAAAAGTTCTTCATCCATACTGGATATAAGACAGAAATATTATCATCAGCCAAGACTACAACAACGTTCAATGACCATTTTAACACAGAAACTGCTCATGTTGTAAACTTAATTAGATAGTTACAGCTTTAATCTTGTCTGTCATATAAAGATTGGATAATCTGTTTCTGCATAGCTAAAGAAAAATTTGAGATAGCATCTCTACGGGATGCTGCTTTTGCATCCAGAACTAGTATTAAAAAACGGTTTAAAGGCGTTATCTCAGCAACTGACCTAATAGGTTCAAGACTGCTGAGTTTCTTACATTTGAAACCAATCCCAAGTATTTTTTCTAATGAAGAACAGCTACCGATGTTCTCATGGGAATTTTCTTCCATCTTTGCTGCTCAGTTCTACAGCTCTTCTCACCCAGCTGCTATTTGCAAGAGCCACATAAACAGAGATATCAGCTATATTCTGAACATGGATTCAACAAAACATTCCACGGTAGCAGGTAACTTAAAACATTTTGCATTACTTCAGGCTCTGATCCAATAGAGCTAAAGGGTTGTTTGGCCGCTTAGCTGACTCAGTGGTAAGGTGATAAAAAATAAAGCAGGATAACTGGAAATATAAATTGTTGTAAATCAATAAGCAAACTACAATTGGGGGAGAAGGTGGGAAGAATGCAGTAGTTAGGTTTTTTCCCCCTCATGCTTTATTTACACAAACAGAGCTAACGCTAACAAATCACTATGTCATAGGTTAGCTCATACTGAACTGTTTTTGTCAAGGACTAACCAACTTACAAATGTTAACAAAAAAAGTCACAAGCTTAGGTGTTAACCTTTTTTTTAATTACAAGATAGTGAGCAACTAACTACATACTGTAACAGAGGTACAGCCATTAGCTACTGAAGATCAAATCCTGCAAATTTTTATGATTTTACAAAAAAAAAATTAGGAAGGAAAGCAGGTCTTTCATAAGATTAATTATACTTACCGAATATTTAACTTCTAAGTACTCAGATTTTGCTGGAACATCTGGGATCTCAAAAGCATAGTATTTTTCCACTTTCTACAGAAAACAAAGATATTCTGTTTTTCAATATCTCCCAACTGAATATTCATTCTGTCCAATACGAAATCTAATGACATAAAGGCCAGTCAAAACATATATCTCAAATGTCACGGGCTTGATCACATACTACCAGTTCTGCAACTCATTATAACCATCTAATGATAGCAAGAATGTTTTAGTATCTGTATTTAATCTCTTTAGGTTTTCTTAACATAAAGTGATTCTACAGAATTGACTTACAAGTATACTAATCATTAAAAAACAAAAAACATACAAGCTTAATAGCTAACGAAAGTCAGAAACATTCTGTAAATTCACAGGCTTCAGACATACTCCTGAGAATGGGTGGCTGCAAACCACCAAAAAAATCACAAAATGGCCGAGATGGAAAGGTGTCTCCAGAGATTGCGTGGTTCAGCCGCCTGCTCATAGCTGGGTCAACTTGAGCAGGTTGCTCAGGGCCCTCTCCACTTAGGTTTTGAATATCCCCAAGCATGGAGACTCCATAGCCTCTCTGGGCAATCCGTGTCAGTGTCTGACCTCCCTCACAGTAAAAAAGTGTTTGTTATGATAAATTTCATGTGTTTCAAATGGCACCTATTGCTCTTATACTCCATTGAGCACCAATGAGAAGAGTCTGCCAGAGTCATCTTTACTCCTGCCCATCAGATGTTTATACACAATGATAAGATTGGCACCACCAATCCCTTATCTTCTCCTCTCCAGGCTGAGCAGTCCCAGCTCTCCCAGCCTCTCCCCACATGACAGACGCTCCAGGCCCTGTACTGATCTTTGTGGGCCTGTGCTGGGCTTGCCCCAGTATGTCCACATCTTTCTCATAGCAGGGAGCTCAGCTGAACGCAGCACTCCACATCTGTCTCACCAGGGCTCACCCAGGGAAAGGACCACCTCCCTGGAACCTGCTGGCAATTCTCGGCCTCAGGCAGCCCAGGGTGTTCGTGGCTGCCTTTGCCGCCAGGGTACATTGTTGGCTCGTGGTCATCTCAG